CCCCCCCCCCCAAACCAGGGATTGAACTCAGGCCCTTGTGCTTGCCAGGGAAGCTCCTATTCTACTGAGCCATCTCCCTGGCCCTAGTTGGCTACTTTTAATCATAGCATATTCTTTGCTTTATATGCTTTTGATTCCTTCTATATTACAATTGTAAACATGCCTTCAAACATATTTTTTATACTTTTCTTTTTGTCTTTTTGAGACAGGGTCTGTCTATACAGTTCAAGATGGCCTTGAGCTCACTTTGTAGCCAAGGCTGGTCTCAAGTAACAATCCTCTTGCCTCAGCCTCCTGAGTGCTGGGATTACAGGTGTGTGCCACCATGCCCTGCACCCTTGTTTTATAATTTACATTTTGTAGACATGTTCTTTGGTTCCTTACTTATGGAACTCATAAACTTAAGCATAAGCTGATGTGGTGTGCACTTGAGTGACAGGCACATGTGATTCAGATGACTCAAGGACAGTGTCTGCCATCACCCTAAAGCCTGAATGCCAGCCAGCTCCATGAAGTCGGGCCTGTGTTCTGTCTACTTCAGTCTCCCAAATTATGAAACAAAGTATGGTGTATCAAGAGCACCCCACATACACTTATTGGTCAGATTTCATTGTCTTATTTTTCTGGTAGGTGAATTAATTTTGACTAGCCCGTTTTGTTTGTTTTTTCCATTGAGAAGGAGGGACTGTTGTACATTATATCAGTGACAGATTTGTTTTAATCTCATGATCTTGCATCCTCGCTATAAGAGAAGATAATTCTAGTCTTATGATAAATGATACTTGTCTTTTCTGGGCCAGTTTTTATTTGAAGACTTTTTTTTTTTTTGGTTTGGCTTTCTAAGCAATTTTCAATTTGTTTTTTTACTAAGTCTGAAATTTTCTGTATTTTAAGAGTGGGAATGGTTGTGTGTGTGTGTGTGTTTCACTCATTTTTTTTTTTTTTTTTTTTTTTTTTTTATGTGGTGGGGATGAAAAACTCAGGGTCTCATGAATTTTAGTCAAATCCAGCTGCAGTTCTAACCTTGTGTCCATTTTTTAAAAATAAAAATACTAGGACCGGGGACATGGCTCAGTAGAATAAGCGCAAGAGCCTGAGTTCAATCCCCAGTTCCACAAAAAAAAAAAAAAAAAAAATTCAGCTGGGTGTGCCTGTAATCCAAGTACTTGGGAGGCTAAGCCAGGAGGATTGTTGCGAGTTGGAGACTAGCCTGGGCTATGAAGTGAGCTCAAAGCTAGCCTTAACTTGCATAGCGAGACCCTGTCTCAAGACAAAAATAAATTAAAATAAATATTCATATTAAACTATAAAGATTGTAAGCAGAAACTCTATACAAGCTAAGTGTGGCAGCCCAGTTACTCAGGAGACTGATGCAGGAGGATTGAAGGTTGAGGGCCAACTTTGGCAACTTAATAAGGTTCTGTCTCAAAAAAAAAAAAAAAAGGGCTAGCTTCTAGCTCAGTGATAGAATCTTGCTTAGCATTGAAAAAAAATCTGATTAATATATTAATCCTATGGGAGAGAAAAACCCACCATGTCTAAGGGAAATATAATTTCTTTTTTTTTTTCTTTTTTCTTTCTTTCTACAAGGTCTCACTATGTAGTTCAGACTGGCCTTGAACTTACTATGGAGCCAAGCCTGGGCTCAAAATCAAGGTGATACTACTTCAGTTTCCTGAGTGCAGGGATCACAGGTGTGTGCCACCATGCCCAGTTTATTTTCAATATTAGTGTAATATTCATTAAGTTACTTTAAAACTGAGGTTAGGTGCTAATATGTAACAACTCTGAAGATTGTCTTTAAAGAATATTAAAGAAAAATTTCACTACTTAATATCACAGCATTACCAGTAAGTTTGAGACCCTCATTGTTTGTTTGTACATGGGTCTCACTAAGTAGCGCAGGCTAGCCTTAAATTTGGAACAGTCCTCTTGCCTCAGTCTCAAGTGCTAGGATTATAGGCACATGCCATCATGCCTGGCTTATTTATTGTTGGGAGCTGCTGAAGCTGGAAATTGGTCAAATGTGTGAGAGCAGGACTAGGCCTCAGTGCCTACAGCAGTCAAGCTACCTCACCCCTGAGAAAAGCATCCTGCTTGGTTAATATCAGCTATTAGTTACTAGGCAACCTTGTATCACGTGATACTAACTTTGTAAAGATATAGATAAATGCCCTTACTGTGGTGGGGAAACCTTTTGCCAGTCAGGCTTGGGCCACCACCCAACCCAGCTCCTGTCTATCTTTTCCTCATTCCTCATTTCTCCCCAGGATACACCAAGACACCAGTGAGTTCTACAGTTAATTTGGAATGATGCAAATCAGATGGAACATGGATGTGATCAAAAGTAAAATTGTCAGTTACGTGTGGTTGTACACACCTCTAATTCTAGCACTGTGGGGGACTCAGGCAAGAGCTTCTCAATTTGAGCCAGGCCTGAACATCTTAATGATTTTGTGAGACACTGTCTCAAAATAAAATTTTTTAAAAAGTGTTAAAGGGCCGGGGAGATGGCTCAGTGGAATAAGCACTTCCCTGGCAAGTACAAGGGCCTGAGTTTAATTCCTGGTTCTGCCATAAAAAGCGTTAAAGGTGTGAAGGCCCTGGATTCAGTGCCCAGTACTGGGGAAAGAAGAAAAAGAAAAAAGTTAAATTACCATTTTAAGTACATTGAAATCGTAGGCCTGTGACACTGTATTCAGAAAGAGCTTTTTACTTTCTTTTCTTTCCTTCCTTCCTTCCTTCCTTCCTTCCTTCCTTCCTCTTCCTTCCTTCCTTCCTTCCTTCCTTCCTTCCTTCCTTCCTTCCTTCCCTCCTTCCTCTTTTTCGTACTGGAAATTAAACTCAGGATCTTTTCACTGAGGTACATCACCAGCTGATTTTTATATTTTGAGACAGGTTCTCACTGAGTTATCCAGATTGGGCTCAAACTTGAGATCTGTCTGCCTCAGCCTCCTCTTAGAGTGTTAGGAATGTACCCTGGCTTAAAAAGGATAATTTTCTTAAAAAAAAAAAAAAAAAAAAAAAAAAAGAAAGATAATATTCTTTTTTCTTTTTTTTTTTGTGCCAAGAATCGAACTCCGGACCTTGCGTTTGCCAGGGAGGTACTTGTAGCAATGAGCTATATCCCTAAACTGCTATAACTATTTTTTATATTGTCTTTTTTTTTTAAATCATTTGTGGTTAAATATGGAAAATATGAACCAACACAACTTATTTTCTCTCCTCAACTTAATTTTAATTTAGTTCTGTTGTCAAAGATGTTTACAAAATGGAGTCTAAGAGTGGAGAATGTGGGGGTGGGGAGATAGCTCAGTTGAATAAGCACTTGCTTGGCAAGCTCAAGGGCCTGAGTTCAATCCCCAGCCACACACACAAAAAAAAAAAAAAAAGTAATTTTTTGAAGACTATCTCCAAGGGAAATGTAATTTATTGAAGACTAAATTTTGCTGCTCTTTGTTTTTCAGCTCCGGCTCCAAGCAGATTTAATAGACGAGTATCAGGTATGTATTTTCTTTATACATACTGCTAAAATGATATTTTACAGTAGGAACACCTTAGTTGAAAATAAACTTTTTAAGTAAAAGTAAAGCAGGGAATAAGATGTTATGTCAAAAGTTAAATTACTAGTATTTCCTTCATTAGTATTCATTTTAAGTTCTGAGCATGGTATGTGTGTATTTTTACATTTCCATATTAGTGTGGTTAATCTATTTTTAGTTTTTTTTTTTAAAGACAGTTTTTCCTACTATGCAGTTAAAGCTGGTCTTGAACTCAGTAGCCCAAGCTGGCCTCAAACTGAAAGCAATCCTTCCTTCACAACACCCAGCTGTAGTTGTTATTAATACTTTTCCAGTTTTTACATCTAAAGACTGTTTTTTAAGCAATAGCTGGTATTCTGAATTATGCTACCATTACTTTCTCCCATCTACCTTTTTGAGCCACTTAAATTATTTCCTTAGCTGTAGAGCTGAAAGTGGCATTTGCCGGTCACAGACTGAGCACTGACTTAGCTTTTCCTGGGTCTTGCCTTGGAGATAGTTGGTGGTAGGCGGAAGGGAGAAACGAACGGGTACAGGCCTCTTCACTGCTACCATTCCAATAGTAGAGACTTAGAGTGCAAAACAATACATCAGATCATTTTAGTTAGTATTTGTTAGGTTAACAATGTGAATGTTTTCCAAATATGGAAAATCTTTTTTCTTTTTTCTTTTTTTTTTTAAGATAGGATCTCAATATGCAGTTCAGACTGGCCTTGCGCTCACGTTATAGCCCAAGCTGGTCTCTAACTCACAGCAGTCCTCTTACCTCTGCCTCCTGATAGCTGGAATTACAGGTGTGTCCCACCATGACCCGATGTTTTTTGAGACAGGGTTTCACTATTTGGTTCTGGCTGACCTTGAATTCACTTATGTAGTCCAAGTTGGCCTTAAATTCATGGTGATCCTCCTACCCCAGTCTCCCCTAGTGTTGGGATTACAAGCATGCTCCACCATACCCAATCTGTATTTTCTTTTCTTTTTTTTTTTTTCCAAAGTTTTATTGATAAACAGCAATGAGACAGTTTCAAATCAAATCGGAATGTATTTTCTTACATGGTACTAGTTTGGTAATATTTTGGCTTTTTACCTGTATGGCCCATATTATTTCTTTTCTTTCTTTTTTTTTTTTTTTGCGGAACTGGGAATTTAACTCAGACCCTTCTGTTTGCCAGGCAAGTGCTTATTCTACTGAGCCATCTCCCTGGCCCAGCCCATATTATTTCTAAAATAGAGTAAAATTTAAATTTTTATTCTTTGGAAATTTTTTTTAGACAGTCACTGTGTAGGTCATACTGGTCTTAACCTCACTATGTTACTCAGGCTGGCCTGGAACTTGATCCTCCTGTGTTAGCCTCCCAAGTAATACTGTTATTTATTTATTTATTTATTTAGTACCAGGGATGGAACTCAGGACCTTGAGCTTGCCAGGCAGGCGCTGTGCCATGGAGCTATATCACTGGCCCCCTCCTTTTTCCAAAAAATTTTTTTTTCAAAGATTTTAATGTACTCCCTACACTGCCTGGGACATAGCAGATACTCAGTAAATATTGAAAATATACATCATCTTTATTTTAACCACTTATTAGTTCAATCACTTAAATATATGATGACCCAAAATTGCATGTTTTGTTTTGTTTTGTGATGAGTTTCATAGTTCATGTTGGTCTTAAACTCACTTTGTAACCCTGGCTGGCCTCAAACTTGCAGCAAGCCCATGCTGGCCTTAAATTTACAGTGATTCCCCTGTCTTAGCCTTCTGAGTGCTGGAATTACAGGTGCGGGCCACCTGGCTCATTAATTTTTATAAGATCATATAACAGGAAATATCAAAATGACGGTTTAATCAAATGCGTTTGGTATAGGAATCAGCTGATTGAAATGATACCTGCCCAAGTTATGTGTGGTATAGTCAATACATAAATAAATGTGCTGCCTGAGTGACAACTCAGTGTTTAGTTATTAATGATTGCTTCTCAGCTGAGCAGGTACTCTTTTTTTATAGAGCTATAGTTTTTCATTAAATGACTTTCTGATACATGTAGTTTATTTAGTAGTGTAGTTGGGATGTTAATGTTTCAAACTTGCTAAGTAGGCAACTGTATCACATATTTTTAATTAAAAGAATATAATGTTCTCTTGTCTAGGATAAGTTTCATTATCTATTATGTGATAAGGCTAGATATCTTCTCTTTCTCAGTTCTTTTTTGGGGGTGGAGGTATAGTAGGGATTGAACCCAGGGCCTGAAGCAGTGCTAGGCAAGTGCTATGCCACTGAGCTATATCCTCAGCTCCTTTAAATTTTTTTTTTTTTTTTTTTTTTGGAACTGGGGATTGAATTCAGGCCCTTGTGCTTGCCAGGGAAGTGCTTATTCTACTGAGCCATTTCCCGGCCCAAAAATTAAAAAAAAAATCTTTTATTTATGTATTTATTTGGTAAATGGTTTTGCTATACAGCTCAGACTTGTAGTGATCCTCTTATCTCA